CCCTCAAACATGAATACTTCCACTCAGACAATTCTGAACCTTCAGTATTAAAGCTGCTTTGCTCTGGTTGTCAACTTGTTTGAGGCCGCTCGCCTCCACCACGGCCCGCCCGCTGAGAAATGTGATTTAAAAGCACATAACGCGAGCACTGAAGACCACCTTCACACTACTGGCCCAAGCGTCCTGAGGCTGAATCGGGAGGTCATTCGGTGCTTTTCTTTCTTTAATTTTTATTATGAGATAATTATCTCATCAAAAACATATAATCGTGTAAATAACCAAATAACAGTCTGCTCTTTATTGTTTATGATGCCTCTCAGTGCTGCATGTAACATACCACAATGGACCAGCAGACAGGGATATACTATACCACAATGGACCAGGAGACGGATATAACATACCACAATGGACCAGGAGACAGGGATATAATATACCACAATGGACCAGGAGACAGGGATATACTATACCACAATGGTCCAGCAGATAGGGATATAACATACCACAATGGACCAGGAGACAGGGATATAACATACCACAATAGACCAGGTGACAGGGATATAGCATACCACAATGGACCAGGAGACAGGGATGTAATATACCAGAAGTGCGTTTTTCTTCGTAATCTTTTATTTTGATCTAAGAACACCGAGTGCTTTCAGGGCTAACATATAGGTCTAATGTGCTTGCTTATAAGGTGTTTGAATTTGTTTCATTGCTGATTTCTTTTTTTTTTACGTTGTGGAGGCAAGTTCAATGATCGAGTATGCCTATATCCAGCCTACTCCTTGCTTAACCTAACCTAGTGCACTACATCCTAACCTATATTTGTCTTCAACCTTATCAAACTTAATCCTAGCCTAACCTTACCTATCCAAATCTAGTGTGACGTCTCCTAGCCCACATTAAACTGTAGCCTTATCTAAGCTTATATAACCAGATTTAGCCTCCTGACCTTATCTAACCTAATCTAACTCGTCCAGAAAAGCCGTGCCAGCTAGAAACTGCTATGATGTTTCGCTGCCAAAAGAACGGTTATTTAAGAGTCATTGTCACAGTTTATGTGATTGTGGACTATGGAACCTGCTGAGTGCTGACCTTGGTGAGGCAAATTGTGAGGAAGAAATGCCTGGCTGGATATTCACAAATTTTCTAGAAGAAATACTTCAGTCGATTATCAGTTCTGTCGTGCCCTATCTGAAGAGTTGTCAGCCCTGTCGGGCCTTATCTGCCCGAAACGCTATGCGTGTTAGTGGCTTTGCAAGAATGCGAAAATACCAAGTTTATGTAATCTTACCAACCCATTGTACCTACTCGTGAATAAAAATTATTCTTATTATTATTATTATCTGAAGAATTACCAGCCCTGTCGTGCCTCCTCTGAAGAGTTGTCAGCCCTGATGTGACTTGTCTGAAGCGGTGTGATTAAATTCTGGGATGATAATAATCCCAAAGTACTGAACTTTTTTCCAATGGGGTTATGACTTACCGATGTGGTCTTTATGTTCTAGTGCAGCAAGGTAAGGTTGGGATTAATACAGGATTTGCAAAGGTTAATCAACCTATGAGAAATGTCGAAGCACTCGAAGCAAAAGCATTCGTCAACTGTAACCAGACCTTGATAGCCTGACACAAAAAAAGAACGTCCTCCAAAATCAGAGGCTTCCCGTCCTCTACATCAGAGGCTTCCCGTCCCCAACATCAGAGGCTTCCCGTCCCCAACATCAGAGGCTTCCCGTCCGCAACATCAGAGGCTTCCCGTCCTCAACATCAGAGGCTTCCCGTCCTCAACATCAGAGGCTTCCCGTCCTCTACATCAGAGGCTTCCCGTCCTCTACATCAGAGGCTTCCCGTCCCCAACATCAGAGGCTTCCCGTCCCCAACATCAGAGGCTTCCCGTCCTCAACATCAGAGGCTTCCCGTCCTCAACATCAGAGGCTTCCCGTCCTCAACACCAGATGCTACCCGTCCTTAACACCAGAGGCTTCCCGCCCTTAACACCAGAGGCTTCCCGCCCTTAACACCAGAGGCTTCTCGTCCTCAACATCAGAGGCTTCCCGTCCCCAACACCAGAGGCTTCCCGTCCTCAACACCAGAGGCTTCCCGTCCCCAACACCAGAGGCTTCCCGTCCTCAACACCAGAGGCTTCCCGTCCTCAACACCAGAGGCTTCCCGTCCTCAACACCAGAGGCTTCCCGTCCTCAACACCAGAGGCTTCCCGTCCTCAACATCAGAGGCTTCCCGTTCCCAACACCAGAGGCTTCCCGTTCTCAACATCAGAGGCTTCCCGTCCTCAACATCAGAGGCTTCCCGTCCCCAACACCAGAGGCTTCCCGTCCTCAACATCAGAGGCTTCCCGTCCCCAACACCAGAGGCTTCCCGTTCTCAACATCAGAGGCTTCCCGTCCTCAACATCAGAGGCTTCCCGTCCTCAACATCAGAGGCTTCCCATCCCCAACATCAGAGGCTTCCCGTCCTCAACATCAGAGGCTTCCCGTTCTCAACATCAGAGGCTTCCCGTCCTCAACATGGTCAATGATATTTCTTATATACTGTACATCAATGACTTAATAAATATTTCTAACGTTCTTCACCCTATACTATTTGTTGATAATACTATTTTAACCTTTTTAAATTCCAATCCACACACTAAATAATATTGTAAATGAGTTAAACAAATTTCACTCATTGACGTCAACCAACAATCTACAGTAACTTAAAAAAAAGACATTACATTTGATTTGGAAACAAATCGTCTAATCAAATACACCTTTAGAATGTTGCTGTAAACATTGACAGTAAAAATGAAGTAAAGTTCTTTGACCAATACCCACACAAGAGACTTAACTTCAGTACTCAAATTCAACACATAGTCAAAAAAAGTATCTAAAATTCTTGGAATACTCTCAAAATCAGATATTATGTCCCCGCCCCCCTGCCCCCCCCCCCCCTCCACTCACCAGTGGCCACGATATTCGATTTTTTTTTTGTAACGTTAATTTAATGTAAAGTCACTTTCTAATGACTTGACAAAAATTCTACTTAAACTTTTTTCAAAAGTATCTCATTTTATCTTCATAGCGTTGCACCTTGTACTACTAACTCACCTCTAGTATTTTACAATTGAGAAATGCAACTTCACCAGTATAATTTATTTTTATCGCGACTTTATGCTGATGTAGTAATTATATGAATTAAATTTCTGTTGCACTGTAAAAATCATTACATTTATTTTTTATTTAATACTGAATATTCCTCATTTTTGTTTAGCTTTAATCGGGTCCGAAATGCTCTGAGTGTTAGCAACATTGTATCACTTAATGACCATCGTATATTCCCTCACAACCTATCGTACTTTCAAGTATATATAAACAAATAAGCAGGCGATGAGTCACAATAACGTGGCTGAAGTATGTTGACCACACCACACACTAGAAGTTGAAGGGACGACGACGTTTCGGTCCGTCCTGGACCATTCTCAAGTCGATTGTGTGATCGACCACAATCGACTTGAGAATGGTCCAGGACGGACCGAAACGTCGTCGTCCCTTCAACTTCTAGTGTGTGGTCTGGTCAACATAAACAAATAAATAACCCAACAAATATAATTAACATTCTGATACAAAATAAAAATGTCTCTGCTTAACCCAAAGTTTTCTGTCACACAAGCATCTTTGACCTTTACAGAAAACGACATCTTAACACAGTATCCTGAGCGAGCTTCTTATACATAACTCACACCTCCGTAATTGTTCTCATTTTATACTAATAGTACTGTAATGTATTACTCTGCCAAATTGGTGTTTGACTAGCCGAGTAGCAAACGGTTTACGGCATTCAAAAGCCTCTTCACAGTCAAAATATAATGTTCATTATGTAGTTAATGCTCAAATATTGCTGTAGAGACGGTCGCCAGTGCTGTACTTGGTAATGGCGTCGCCTTCACAGGGTTAAGACATGGTTGGTACACAAGTAAACGGCTCACCTTGAGTCCCTAAGGCTCCTTCCAGTTCCTTGACCGCTCGGTGAAACGGACGAAGTCCAGATGTGTCAGAGCGACGAATACCGGGCATTAACGACTCCCTTGTAGCCAGACACGTCAACACCGTCCGGGGGTTGAGCACACTGGCGCGGGGGTCGCCGCCACGGATCGTAAACCTGTTGAAGGGATCATTCTCCCCTTACGGGTTATTCATGCCCGTGCCACCTCTTGGGTGGCTTAATCTTCATCAATCAGTCAATCATCATTCTCCCCGTCAGTGACTGAGGGGTTTATATGGAGCTGCCTCCACATCGTAGCATATATCTCCCTAGTCTCTCAAATCTCTGATGCCTAATCAAATGTCAAATAAAATAAAAAGTTAATATTAATGCTTAGCAAATAAAAGTTAATGCAGTTAATCCCTAGATAAGCATAATTAGTAAACACTATTACTAACTACATTAAAACTAAAAAAGTAATTATGTTAAGCAGACGATGAGAGACAATAACCGTGGCTGATGATTTGATGACCAAACCTCACATCAGAAGATGAGGAGACGACGTTTCGGTCCATTATCAAGTCATATTAATTCTGTTAACCTTAAATTGATATAGTAGATGCAGGAACAGACCTACTTTGAGGAAAAAACATTACACCAAGATCAGAGCATTATCTTAAAAATAACTAAATATGTCTTTGCTATCGAAAAGCATAATATATTTTTTTTAAATATTGAGATTTTATACATTTTTATGTTTAATATAAAAATTACCATTAGACGTAATACTCTCATATCAAGTTTTAATTATTTAAAAATATAAACATATTTCACCGCCATTTACAAACTTTACGAAAACAAATTATCACTCAATATGTATTTCAAGTAAACAATAGTTTACAGGAAGGGAAAAATACATCGGTGTAAATACGCTGAGTTTACTTTAGTATTCTGCTGTTAGATGACGTGCGCATATGCTTGCATTTGTGTCTGTTTGAGAGAGAAAGATTGTTCAGAAAAAAAAAGTTTCTTATGTTCTAAGAAAAATATCGTCAACATCCTCAAGCTCAGTGCTCCTGGCGTCACGACAAGATGAAGACGTCATTGCTCGCTCTGATTAATGTTGTGTTCTATGTTCGCAGTGCCGGTAAGGTGATAATTGCCATCCTCGTCTTTTATGCCTCTTAGAATTCCAGTAGCATAAAACGGAATTTTATTGAATGCAACAGTCCACAGGTTTTGTACACTTAATGCACATTCGTTATACGTGCTATCATTTATGGGGAATTAGTTGAAAGGCGATAGTCTCTAGTCCAGGGGTTCTCAGCCTGCTAGTCGCGACCTAAGAGTCTCCAGTTACTACATTACATATTACAAGTGAACTATAAGAAAGTATGAGTCACAGCGCAAGTAACAAAGCTAGAATTTGGGTCATAGACAAAAATTAAGAAATTCTTACAGGGTTCTATTACATTTCTTATTACTGACATTTGAGTGGTTTATAATGTAGCCAATTTAATTGTAAATATAGTCTGATTAGGCTTTTACCGTGAATGTGATGTTGTGTGCCAAAAGGCTAATATTGTTGGGTCTTTTCACAGAGATTGTTGCACCAGCGGCGTGTTCCCTCCATCTGCAGACTGACGAACCACCAGTCACAGTCGCCTTCCGCCTTGGTGATGAATATTCCATCAACTTTAGTGTCAGCGGCTCTGGTGCGGACTTCATGATAAACAAAACCGAGAATGCTCTCCGGACCTTTTCTGTGTCTCAAAACAGAACAATTTATGAGGCATCGATTTCTAAAAGTTGTTCAGGAGAATGTACATATCTGAACTTCTCGGCCAATATACATGCCTTAACAACTGAAATATGGTGTAAAGAATGGAAGTTTGTTATTCCTATTTTCATCGGGAATAAATCGGACGAAAATATAACTTTGACATGGCAACACGTGACGGGAGAAGCGGAGCTGTGTGAAGGGTACGAACAGTATGATCCTGGACAATGTCTATATCTGAAACCCATATATTTCCCAGTGACAGCCATGGTGACCGGCCTGATCTACGTAGTGATGACAATGGTTCTGAGTGTGTTGTTGTACCTAGGGGACCATAAGTATGGCTGGCGCTGTAGGCTGGAGAGTTGAACTGTAGCAGTCAGCAGTCAGCAGACCACAGTTTTCAGATTCGGGAGATCTGCGGTTGCTGCTACTGTTACTTGAGTTGTAGCAACTGCTGCCTCTGTTGCTGCTTTTGCTACAACCCTTCTACTCTTGCTTTTGCTGCTGTGCTGTTGGTACTCTGGTTATTGCTACAACTGCTTCTTTTGCTGCTACTCTTGCGCAACCGCTCACGTCAAGATCCTTCAAGCAGAGGGCGAAAGAGACCATAGTGGTCTCAAATTTCCCAGCTCGTCGTCTTTGGGTCCACAAGGTTTACGTCAAATACTTAATCAAATCTACACAATTTTTTTACTTTCAGCTCACTTGATCATCTTCGAAGCTCTGACTCGAAAGATGCTTTATTCACCTTCAGTTTATCGTGTATTTAACTTGGAAATAAAAGTATTATTAAAACTTTTAGTAATTATTACACTTCGAGAAGGATGTTTTGACGAACTTATCGTAAAATTATGAAATCGGGATTCTTTAATCACAAAATAACACAAATTATTATCTGTGTTACAAATGAGTTTGTTCAAGACTCACAGTCAAGAATCCCCGGTTCGAATCCCGGGTGGGACAGAAATGGCTGAGCACGTTTCCGAGAGAGAGAGAGAGAGAGAGAGAGAGAGAGAGAGAGAGAGAGAGAGAGAGAGAGAGAGAGAGAGAGAGAGAGAGTGAGAGTGGGAGAGAGAGAGAGAGAGAGAGAGAGAGAGAGAGAGAGAGAGAGAGAGAGAGAGAGAGAGAGAGAGAGAGAGAGAGAGAGAGAGAGAGAGAGAGAGAGAGAGAGAGAGAGAGAGAGAGAGAGAGAGAGAGAGAGAGAGAGAGAGAGAGAGAGAGAGAGAGAGAGAGAGAGAGAGAGAGAGAGAGAGAGAGAGAGAGAGAGAGAGAGAGAGAGAGAGAGAGAGAACTATCAGTTCCTTCCTTTGCTGCTTCTGTACTTTCATATATTTTATCACAAGAGAGAGATAGAAAGAAATCTTTGCTCTAAGATCAGGATGAAGCCAGAGGAAACACTGGTGGAGGTTCGTAGCGATTCCGTAGTGATCTTTGCTCTAAGATCACAAAACAGATAAACAGATTTGTTCCTCTTCTGTTGTTTTAAAATAAATGTATTAAATCTGTGTTCTCTGCCACCTGTGTTGTCTGGTATCGTGTGTGTCCTCTGGCACTGTGTGTGTTCTCTAGAACACTGTGATTCCTAGAACCTTTATGGTCCTTTATAACCATCTGTGTTATCTACAACCTTCTGCGTTCTCTAGAACCTTTCGTGTTCTTTAGAACCTTTTGTGTTCTTTAGAATCTTTTGTGTTCTCTAGAACCTTTTGTATTCTCTGTAACCTTTTGTGTGTTCTCTAGAACCTTTTGTGTTCTCTAGAACCTTTTGTGTTCTCTAGAACCTTTTGTGTTCTCTAGAATCTTTTGTGTTCTCTAGAACCCTTTGTGTTCGCGAGAACCTTTTATGTTTCTAGAACCTACTGCATTCTATAAACCTTCTGTATTTTAGAACCTTCTGTTTTCTCTAGAACCGTCAGTGTTTTCTAGTACCTTTTGAATTATCTAAACTCTTTTGCGCTCTCTAGAATACTACAGTAATGAACAAATATTACTTGTAGACGGTCTTCAGAAATACATTGCTCCTCTGTAATCATTTATTTCATCGACCTGTTTTTTATCATCTTTATGCATAAAATACAAACAGCAATACTTACCAGTACCCCTTGAACAGAAAACAAAGGGCTATTGTTGATTTTCATAATCTTATCTCACACAATGAGACCCTATACAGAACTACAGCGAGGTACCACTCTACAAAGATCCTTCTCAAATGTATACTTAGATAAATTTGTTTCCAGAGTAGAGCTCCGTGTCTTAGCCTAGCCTTTCTGTCTATTTTTTTTTTATCTTTATTTAAGAAAATACAATATAAATCATATATACATAAGGTTTACAAGGCAATACTACATTAAAAATCTGTCTATTAGAAGTTTAATGCAGTAACAGCATTCTCTCCTTTTTTGTATCATTTAAATATAAAATTGTGTATAGACATAGCTTTTTCCACTTCTCCATCTATAGCTTTTTTTCCATTTATTTGCAGCTCTTGCACTTAAGTTCTTTCTGGCCTTCTAACACTGTTGCCATCCTTCTGTCCTTGCACTTATCTGGGTTGAAATCCAGTAGCCATTTGTCCAAAAAAAACTGCAATTTATCTAAGTCTTCCTGGATCCTTCTGCAGTCCTCACTCATCTTGATTCTTCTCGCCAATTTGGCGTCATCAGCAAACAGTGAGACAAAAGAGTCTGGTACATTAACTAAGACATATATTCTAGGAATAGCATGGGTCCTTGGTCCTTACAGTGATCTATGTTGAACTCCACTAATAACTTTCCCCCTATTTCTATATTTTTCCCATTTTCTCTTACGCTATTTGTATTGATTAGATAGTTTCCCACACAATTTAGTACTTTGCCAGTTACTTCGACATAATTGTTAAGCTTATACAAGAGCCGCCTGTAACACGCGACAGTTTCAAATGCTTTATTACAATAAATAGTAAGCCGTCTGTCCATCTTATCTGATCTATAATTCTCTGGAACCCAATCAAGCCTATTGGGGGTGATCAACCCCAATAGGCTTGTCAAGCATAATTTCTTTGTAGCCGTGAGGGTGCTTAATTGTGTTGTGAAGTTAATTCTCTCTAAGTGTCCTATTACTCTATTGTTATTCACTCTAGTACTGATCCCCCTTCCTGTACACAAGCGCCCTTCCAGCTATTTAGCACTACTCCTGTATACAATGATGCCTCGATCACTGTCAGCTGTTTGTGCAGGATTTAAACAAGTTTTTAGATCCATGTCGAAAGCATCTCTGATCTATAACTTGTGCTTCTGGAGCTGGTTCCTTACCTGTTCCTTTGACACTACTATTGTACTCTGTTCAGTCTCTGGAGTGATCCTCCAGCCCATGTCAGGTAGTTGTTCTGGCTCTACTTTGATGACAGCTTGGAATATTTAACTTAACTCTTCACACATTTCACAATGATTCTATATTAACACTTTTCTGCTCATGGTAAGCCACACCACCCACCCATCGCTTTATTTTGTTGCCTCCACACGTGGCTATGAAATAATCATGGTTGATCAAATAAGAACTGATCATAAATACCAAATCGACCGATGCCTGGACACACCTGTTGTCAACATACGAGTCAAAACACATGTGTTGCCAACATGGCAGCCAGAAATATACGAATTTTAATGGTTTTAATTTTATTTTTTTTATCGATAATTTTAATATAATTTTTATTTAATCGACTTTAAGGGCTAAGTCGTTCTCACGTTGTTTCTCTGTTCCTCTTCTTAAGCTTCTATATTCGTTCCATGTTCTCCTGCTAAGCTATCTTATTTTTTGATACAGCTTTTTTATGCTTCTTATTTATGGCTTTTACTACTTCCTTGCTTTATCTAATAATCCATAGTGTGTTCTGCCCCCCTGCGTTCCTTATCTCCATCCTTATATATCCTTATCTCCATCTCCTTATCTTATTTGTTTTGCACTACAGTCGTGCCGCTCTAAACACCAGGTATGGCCGAGTATTAATTCAACCCGTCCTCATAAAATTACGTCGCTTTTTGCTCGTATGCGCGCTATTAGTATGTGGATAAGAAGACGGGCTCACCATAGCCCGTGCTACTTGGAACTTTTTGTTCCAGGTGGCGAATCTACAACAACAAACAAATATGTGGATAGAATTACTTTGCTAAGTGTGGCAATATGACAAGATACGCGACAGCGAGTGTGTGAGTCACACATATGTTAATTTTACTTCCCCGGAGAAGGACGCCCGTTAATACTGAAGCTTCAATTGGGGTTTAACGAAACAGCATCGCCTGCTACAGCAACAACAGAGGCGTGAGTACTCTCTATATGATGTTGCAACTCTGCGCTTTAATGTGGATTAAATATTTTAATATGTAAAAAAGATTGTAAAAGAAGCTGATTTGAAACTATAATAAAACGATCGTCTCGCGCATTGTGAAACTCTAATTGAGCGCTCTGTAATTTTGTCTTACTTTGAGTCTTTGAGTATATTATTATATATTTATAAGTATAACGCTATTTTGAGTCTGATCTGTTATTCTGAATCTGTGAGTAGGTTGTTGTGAGTCTGTAATTCTGAGTCGGTGAGTCAGTTACTCTAAAATGATGCATAAGACATTGTGTTTACAAATAAGTTGCATGTTTTTGAATGGCATGTAAACTTACATTATACACTGGTCCTCTATGGCAGCGGTCGGACGGTAGAGTCAGTTATCAGGTAGCATGAGTGTACTAATAACGTTATTGAGTATCTCAATAACCTCGGACTTCGTGAAGAAAAATACCTCCAGCGAGACAGTGCTCTTGAAGTATGATCACTTCACCCGGAGATGTGAGCTGACCGAAGACAAATGCAGCATTGGTTCCCTGGAACTCGAGTTCAAGATTTGTTCGGCAATTATCCAACTGCTGCGGAGCTCACCCCGCTATCTCCCTTGACTGGCCAATCAGATAAGATGAAATCAGGAAGTTGTCTGATGCAAGCCCGCCCTCCACCTCCATTCGCCCGGCAGCAACGTTCAACATTCAGACATCGGCGTTCCCTACGCTACCAAGAATCACGGTCACCTCACTGCAGCCTCTCCCAGCTCCCTGGGCAGGTCACTCCCAGCAACAGCCTTTGTCTCCGACCCAGCAGTCTGTTACGTACCCTTATAAGATACGTAAGTAAATATATTAATATGTACATTTATAATTGTATGTAAATTACAAGCATGTATATGGTTATACTTATATGTTCTATGCAAATGCACATTCATGTTACAGTGTTGGCGTTAGGCCCAACGTATCGTGGGAATGATTGTTTATTTCTTTGTGTGATCAGTTTTCCCACGGGAACTAATGATTTATATGTGATCATAAGTGGGTAACAGAGGTGAATAATAATTGAGTGAACTGTATCTGGCAAATTGTCGTGGGATCGTCCGTTGCTGGGTGTGCATGCCATTATTTCCTTCTGTATGCATATTTTAATTAATATGTAAAAGAACTATTACCTTATGTTTGTATATCAATATGTATTAATTATTCATTAAGTTAGTTTAAGATTACTCTTGTCACAATGTATTGCTCCATTGTTGAAATAATAAATATTGTAACTTTGGCAATTTATTCGCGGGGCAAGGCAATCTGTTTTTTGACTCGCGTTTTGTTGTTCAGTAGCTGGACGGGAACCAGGGAGATAACATCTTGGAGTTAAGTCATTCATTTGTTCTGTCATAGCCATACATATATTAATATTGATTTAATGTCTGGAAGTTACAGTGATATTTTTAATGTGATATATTGTGACCATATAATCATCTGTTTGCTTTTGAGATTTATTTAATATAATTTTATATAATATTATTGTCTTTATTCTTCAGTCCTATGAAGATTCTATTTTTGTGCTCATTACTTATTAAGGGGTTATACTGGTGATTCGCTATTGAGAACAGCAGTTGTGTCGTATCCCTAGACGTAATTAAAGTTGGCTGCTGTAGGATCACGAGCCGTAACGTACGATAGGTAACAAAGAGTTATGGGGGCCTGTCCGGGATATATTGTCCCACTTTAACTTAACTATGCTAATCTAACCTTGCCTTCCTAGGTACCAGTGTGTCAAGTGTCTCTGTGTGTTTCTTAAGAACTATTCCATGTGCCAAGCAAGCCTTCCTGTGTGTCAAGTAACAACGTTTCACGATTTTGAGGTAAGTCATCCTATATATTTTGTTTGTGCAGTGAGGCCAAGCGAATTTTCAGTGTGGTGACAATTTTACAGTGAAGTGTAGTGCAGTGCCATTGTTTTAATTATTGTTGTGAATTAAGTGCCAAGTGTTAGTAACGATGGAGGAGAAAGTTGCAGCGTTGGTGGCTCAACCAGACTTTGAAGGGATTCAGAACCTTAAAAAGACTGAGTTAATACAAATGGCAAATCAGTTGGATTTGACCGCCAGCAATAGAATGGTTAAAGCCCAAATATTGAAAGTCATTGTGACGCATTTTGTTGAAAATGGGGAGTTAGAGGAAGAAATTCTAGAAGAGTTAAGAGAGGAGTCGAGTGATCAGATGACGTTAAAGCGTCTTGAGTTAGAAGCGCAAATAGCCAATGCTAAGCTTGAAGCTCAAAAGGAACAGAAAATATTAGAGGCTGAAGCTCGTCAAAGAGAGATTGAAGCTCAACAGCAACAGCAAATATTAGAAGCTGAAGCTCAGCAAAGGGAGCTAGAGACTAGGCGTTTAGAAATTGCGGTACAGTTGCAAATAGAAGCCACAAAAAAGCAACAGTTAGAGATTCAACAACAAATGGCTGACACTAACTTCAGGCTTGAATCACAGCGTATGGCAGCTGGGCATGGAAATACTAGTAATGTTTCAACAAATAGTGATAATAATACCATCAGGATGAATAAGTATATAGAGTTGCCCAAGTTCAATGAGGAAGATCCTGAGGTTTTCTTTGCACATTTTTATAAAATTGCCATCAGTATGAACTGGCCAAGGGATCAGTGGGTAGCCATTATGCAGTCTCAATTTAAGGGGCGTAGTCAGGAGGTTTTCACAACCCTACCTGACACTCATAGTTTTGATTATGACTTTGTAAAGAAAAGCATCCTCAATGCATACCAGTTAAATCCAGAGGCACACAGGCAAAAGTTCAGGAACCTAAGGAGAATCAGGGATCAGACAATAGCAGATTTTACTCGTCAGAAGACGAATTTTTGCAACAGATGGTTAAAGTCACTTGCAGTTACTGATTTTGATGCTCTAAAGAATCTTCTTATAATGGAAGAAGTATTGTCATGTCTTCCAGACCAGTTGTCTACTTTTATGGCAGAACAAAAGAATGTAACAGATATTGATGAGCTGTCAAAGCTCGCGGATGAGCATGAGTTGCTGACTAAGGCCCCGTTTACGGCCACTTCACCTAAGTCTAGTCGTAGAGTAAATTTCAATGCTCACCGTACTCCTTATCAGTATAAGTCTCCTCCTGGTGCGACAGTTACTCCCGTGAACTCTTCTCTTACTAACCCTAAGATGGTTACTCCATTGCCAGGATCATCTAAGCCTAGTAATGCTAATTCTAAACCGGCAGTTGGTTCTACCAGTGTGTCCACTGTCAAACATTGTACCCATTGTAAGAGAAGGGGGCATGTGATTTCTTCATGTTTTAGTTTGCATCCTGAACTCCGACCAACTGGTCTTATTATGAGTAAAGGAGTGCAACCTATTAATTCTTCATGTATTACAGTCAGTCCCAATTGGATGGCTGAATTCAAACCCTATATTTCCACAGGTACCTTATTATGTACTAATGGTAGACATAAGACTGTTCAATTACTCCATGATACTGGAGCTTCACAGTCTCTTATTACCCAGAAGGTACTTGATGATGTTGACACCCGAGATCTGGGTGAAGTTGTGCTTCTCCAAGGTATTGCCGGTAGTGTGCAACCAGTGTCCTTATTGCAAGTTAACCTTGATTCTAAATATACTTCAGGATGGTGTAATGTTGGTGTAAGTAAACAACTGCCCATTCCTGGGGTAGACATTATTCTAGGTAATGATTTTGGCAACCAAATGGTTGTAGGGCCCAAGTGTCCCATCATGTTAACTAAACCCCATAATGTATTAGCTCAACCGGAAGCAGATGATGATATTATTTACCCTGCTTGTGTTGTTACTAGATCAATGGGAAAAACAGGTGAGAGTAATCCTGTCTTCACTGAGGTTGCTGTTCCCAAGACCAGGACCCCTTCAGTAAAGGAGTGGGAGGTGGATCTTGAGGATTCTTTTATGACTCGACTGGATGATGAGAGTGAGGCCGTAGTAGAAGCCCCGCCGAACCTAAATCACAAGGAAAGTGAAGGTGAGGAGGCTGAACTATCTGTACCTTGCCCGCTTGTCTCCAGTGCGCCAGTTGTCGAGAGTGAGGCCGAAGTAGCTATGACTCCATTTTATTCTGATCAATCGGGAAAAGAGATCAAGCTACTAGGTTCTTGCCCGCTCGCTGCTGAGTCTGAGTCATTGCCCTTAAGTGTTGTACAGACTACTGATCCTAGTTTAAGTAAGTGTATTTCTGAGGCTCCTGATAATATTGATGCATTGGAGGAAGGGACGGGTTTCTTCTTCAAGGATCGACTTCTGATGAGAAGGTGGAGACCCAAGGGAACTCCCTCTTCAGATGATTGTGAGATTAGAACCCAACTCGTTGTCCCCAATGATTATCGAAGGCAGGTCCTGCAGGCTGCACATGATGACCCCATGGGAGGTCATCAAGGTATCACGAATATGTACCATAAGATAAGTAAATATTTTTTCTGGCCAAAGTTAAAGAAAGACGTGGTCAGATATTGTCATAACTGTATACCCTGTCAAATTGTTGGTAAACCAAATCAATCTGTACCTAGAGCACCATTGCAACCTATTGTAGTTCCTGATGAACCATTTACTCATGTTGTAATTGATTGTGTGGGTCCTTTACCCAAGACTAAATCGGGTAACATGTTTTTGTTCACTCTCATGTGTATGACTACTAGATTTCCTGAAGCTTATGCTCTGCGGAATACCAAGGCTCATAATCTCATCAAGTGTCTTGAAAGATTCTTTTCGTTGTTTGGAATGCCTAGAGTTATTCAGAGTGATAATGGGGGAAATTTTGTTTCTAAAGTTTTCAGAACTTTTTGCGAATCCCGAGGGATTCGGCACAAATTATCCAGTCCATATCATCCACAAAGCCAAGGTGGACTTGAACGTTTCCACCAGACTTTGAAACAAATGCTGAAGACAACCGGAGAAACTCATCCACGTAATTGGGATGAGAATCTCCCCTTTGTGTTGTTTGCTGCTAGAGAAGGGCTACAAGAGTCATTGGGCTGTTCACCCTTTGAACTAGTGTTTGGTCACCAAGTAAGAGGTCCTCTTAAAATGCTACAAGAAAAGTTGTTGGGAGATGTCTCTGTTCATCAGAGTGGATTGTACTTGAGTGAGGTCAAGGCAAAGTTGTGTCGGGCTCGTGAGTTGGCGAAAGAACATCTGGGAAGGACTCAACAAGCCATGAAAGTACGATATGACAAGAAGTTCAAAGCTAAGCTAAGGTCGTTTGATGTCGGAGATTTGGTGTTGGTGTTGAAACCTCGTATGGGGACTTCCATGTCCCATAAGTTCGCAGGACCCTACCAAGTGGTAGACAAGGTGGGAGACCTAACTTATAAACTAATTAACCCTAATCTTTCAGAACCCCAAATGACTGTACACATTAACAGATTAAAAGCTTATGTTGGACCTGGTGTAGTAGCTTGTTTTAGTCGGGAAGAGTTACCACCTGAGGATAATTGTAGTGAGGGACAGGTTGTTAATATCCCACTTCTCAGTTCCAGTTCCAATGGCAGGGAGATGCTATGTCATTTACAGGAGGAACAACGTGATGAGTTCCAGGTTCTGCTGGACAACCATACATCTCTGTTTGGGGAGGTTCCTACCCAGACCCACCTCATCACACACGACGTTCAGCTCCTGGACAGCACCCCCATTCGACAACATCCGTACCGAGTGAATCCCGAAAAGAGGAAAATTATGCAAGCAGAAGTGGAATATCTGCTCCAGCATGATTTCATTCGGCCAAGTCAAAGTACTTGGAGCTCTCCGTGTTTGTTAGTGCCAAAACCAGATGGAACCTGGAGAT